ACTTTTTCATGAGAATATAGCAGCCACCCTCCTCTAAAACCCTAGTTCAAGTTTTTAAGATTTTGAAAGAATTTGGTGAAGGATTCGCCGAGAGGAAGGCAAGATCTGTGTTTGTACCAAAGGAAGAGGTCTTGCACACGTGTTGGAAGGATCAACAACGATGTGAGGTAAGATTATCTTCGTCCAAACCCATCCCCATAGTTAAATAACTAGGGTAGACGTTTAATATGATGTTGAATACATGTTTTCATGCTTTAACCTTAACATGTGGTGTTAAAAGTCAGATTTTTGATATTAAATCTTAAACCAATGCTAGATCAGTAATCTTTTCTTGCTGTTTATGATAGAATAATGATCATGATCTTTAGGGTTTCAATTATTTTCGTTTTAAATCTTTTAAACATGCTTAACTTATGTAATTGATCTTTAGGGTTTCAATTATTTTCGTTTTAAATCTTTTAAACATGCTTAACTTATGTAATAACCCTATTTTGATGTTTAATTATCTTATCATACTAATTAATCATGCTTAAACCCTAGGTTTGTGATACCTAAATAATTTAGACATGTTTAAATGAATTTTATATCTCTGTTCATATTTATAATGATCATGCTATGGCAATCACGTGATATTTCATGTCTTTATTAAAAATCTTGTATAATCATGTTACTAACCCTAATTAGTTAAAATCCAAATGCTAAATCATATAATCCGATCTCTGTTAATTAGTTGTACATGTTTATAACCTGGTTCCTATGTTCCATGTTGAATAGAATGAGTTTTGTTTAAGAAATATCGCAACATCAACCTAGAGTCGACTAAGTTGACTTATGAGTCGACTTACGGGCATTTTTTTCAGATTTCATGAGTTTTGTTGTTGTACTATTTTGAGACGTGTTCGTGGGGTTCGAACCGTACTTTTTTACATGTACATTCACGCATATACTAGTACAGTGTCATTGCACACACATGAGTAACCCAAAGGGGGTTTTGACAAGAGTTGGGTTGTTTAAAATAGAGTAGTGATTGTTTATACACTCGTTGGATATCATTAATGAGCACAACTCAGTACTATATGGGTTAATATGTCAATATACCAGATATACATAGTTTATGCATAAGATGGATATCGTTGATGAGCCCAGTTCAGTGCTACATGAGGTAGTGCGTCGATATTCCATATGTACAGGCCATTGAGTGAGGTTTGGATGCTTTGTATAAAAGTCTGTACGCATGAGTGTGCGATGAGGCTGGTAAGCCGTCTATTTATAGTGATTGTGAGCCATCTATTTGGATACCTATGTGGTAGGTCATCCCACACTCAGGCTACATACTGAGATCGCGATGAGACTAATGAGCCACGTACATAGTTCAGGATACCTACAGGGTAGTCCGTGACTTTGAGATTGTTGATTTATAGCCCAAATTTTAGGTGGATGCCAGTTATGAGTTCAACTCATCTTTGAGATATATGAGTGAGATACTTTGCTCTTGAAAGTATACGGGATTATATGTTGATATTTATATTATCTCCTCAGTGATTGTGGAAGTTATTATAAATACAATTTAATGATGTTTTTATATTTCTTTACTGTTTTCTTTACTTGTTAGTTGGGATCAATGATTAGGAATTCATAATTTGAGATATATGGTATATACATGAGGGTTTCCTTGTTTGGATTATTTCGCTTGACGTACTAGGCTTGTGTTGTGAATTTTTAATTGTTGATCTCATTAGTTTGTCTTTTCCTAGTTCGGTGTTAATGTTTAGGTATCTACAATTTGAGGCATATGATATATACATGAGGGTTTCCTTTTTTAGATTATTTCACTCGATATACTATATGTCTAGTGTTGTAGGTTTCTAAATATTAATTCTATTAGATACATGGAAAATGATCTAGGTAGACTATGCTTAATAGATAGAGTCTTCACTTCATCTAGCAGCCCTTCCTCTGGGACTAGATGGAGGTAATCTTGCTTTAGCTCTATGATGCTCTTGTTGTTATTCTTTTTGTTTTAAACTTCCTTTCAGGTAGTGTCGAGGCTCGGAGAGTCGCAGGATGACGGAGTTCTTGCATAGTCACCGTTACATGAGTTATTAATAGAGACTCCATAGTAATTATTATGTTCTTATTCAGACATTAGAGTTTTATATTTATATTGTAAAAGCAGTGTGCCTTAGTATGTTTTTCAGTTGATTCATGTTGAGACATTTTTATTATTTCAGATATTAGATGTGGTTCAGTTGAGACATAATTTTCATTTATGAAATATCTCTTTCTATATCATGTCTGTTATTTCTATTTCCTATTTTGCCTGTTTTGTTCCTGTACTTTTATTTGATTCCACTAGATGATATTACTGTGATTAGTAAAACATGTTTATGCATAGTGTGGGTGTATGACAGGTTTGACATCTCTGGGTTCAACTTGGACTACAGCCATGTGTGAAACCAGGGACGTCACAGTTGGTATCAGAGCTCTAGTTCCAGCATCCTTAGGATCTTTCCTGTGTCGAGTCGTGGAGCTAGGATAAAGTTTCCTAGGATTCATGTATAGAGTTCGCTAGGATTCCTAGAATGAGTGAGGATGTTATATATGTATATTCCAAAATTTACGAATTTTTTTATGACTACCTTACTTTGATTAAAAAATAAATATGTGAATGATATATGATATAATTTTCCTACTGTTATATGTTATGTTATGTATGTTTGTGAATCTCTCCTCTTGGTATATAAATATCGGGAAGAGGTCGTGGTCGAGGTAAAAGTCGTACCTGGAGAGATGGGCAAGTAGAGCCTGAATCGCAGTAGACTCCACAGTATTTGATCGACTTGGTAACACTGATTATAGAGGTAGAGACTAGCAACTGTTGAGGAGTGAGTAACAAGCCAGATTATACTTTCTGAAGTTCCACCACCAGTCATACCAGTCGCATCTATTCAAGAGGCAATACCGATGATTACACTATTACCACAACTAGCTGTTAATAGATTCATGGAGCAGGAGATTAGTTATATTCAGCTTAAAGGATGACGCCGGAGGATAGCACCGATTTTAGTTATGCTAGAGCAACAAATGTTAATTTCATGGAAGGATTTTATCTACTATTTCAATAAGCAGCTAGAACTAACTCGATTGGGGTAGGGAGATGTACTAAGAGTAAATTTTAGAAGCAGGATTTTCCGGAGACCATGACAAGGACAAGAAACCTTTTGCAAGATTAGGAGGACCCCAGTAATAGGGTAAGGATTTTCATCACCACTAGTAGAATAGTGGTCAAGATCAGTAGTCGTAGGGCCATGGTTACGACCAGTAGCAGAGGATTGAGGCACCACCTACCATTCCGAGGACCAAGGGGCCAGTAGGCCATATGCACACTATACAAGAGATTCCTATGAGATAGATAGTCTCATAGATTACACCGCTAGTAGTACAGTAGTCACCAGCAACTGACAGAGTTTATGCAGTCGTACCGCGTGATCATGGTACGAGCAGAGCTTTCTTAGTGATTATTCCTTTCCAGTTCGGATCTTGTTCGACTCAGGAGCTTCGTATTCATTTATCTCTCATACCTTCATGGATAGGTTTCAACTAGTTTCACATGTCTTAGACTTTTCGTTATCCGTCTCTACTCCTTTAAGGGAGGTATCCCTATTGAGAGTATCTGTAGGAGATGCGTTATTAGTCTAGATGAGTCAGAGTTCTTTTTTGATCTAATCATTTTTCAAATGTCAGAGTTCAACGTCATTCTCAGTATGGATTGGCTATCGTCCTACCATATTAGTATCGATTATTTTTCTAAAACAATCAGCTTGCGAGCGTCCAATGGGTCTGAGTTGATAGTAGCGACCTCACGGGGCAACCAGTTTGCGGAGTCACTTCTGGCATACGTCGAGGAGGTGATGGTACGGGATCATGATGCTGAGTTTAGCGAGATGTGAGTGGTATCAGAGCATCAGGATGTCTTTCAGGATATACCAGGTTTACCTCCAGTGAGAGAGGTTGAGTTTCTGCATTGAGTTGTAGCCGGGCACAACATCGATATCTCGAGAATCATATCGTATGACACCTGCTGAGATGAGGGAGCTACAGACCTAGTTAGACGAGTTGTTATCTCAGGGCTTTATTCGCCGGAGTCATTCTCCATAGGGAGCGATGGTTCTCTTCGTGAAGAAGAAGGACGGTTGTATGCTCCTTTGTATAGATTATCGTGAGTTGAATAAGGTCACTATCCGAAACTGGTACCCACTATCGAGGATTGATGACTTGTTCGACCAGCTGCAGGGAGCGTAGTATTTCTCTAATATTAATCTTTATTCTGGATATCATCAGTTGCGGGTTCAGGAGATGGATATTCCCAAGACCGTCTTTCTGAGTTCCTTGTAATGCCATTTTGGGCTGACCTATATAGCTAATGTATTCATGGATTTGATGAACTGAGTTTTTCATCCATATTTGGACAAATTCATGATCGTATTCATTGATGATATTCTTGTCTATCCGAGATCGGAGATAGACCACGAGCAGCATCTTCGATTAGCATTATAGACCTTGCGGGAGCATCAGTTATATGGCAAGTTCACCAAATATGAGTTTTGGCTTTCTGAAGTCATATTTTTGGGCCATATTATCAACAAGGAGGGTATTGTAGTAGACGTAGTAAAGGTGGAGGCAGTACTTAATTAGGAGCCGTCGAAGACAGCTTCAGAGATGCACAATTTCTTGGGTTTAGTAGGCTATTATACAAAGTTTATTCAGGATTTCTCAAAGATTGCGACGTCACTTACACGCTGTCATGGAGTGCCAGGAGGCCTTTGAGACTCTAAAGGCTAAGTTGACTATAGCGTCGGTATTGATTATTCCGAGTAGTAACAGGACCTTCGTAGTCTATATAGATGTGTCGTTATTGGGTCTAGGAGGTGCTTTGATGCAGACCCAGAGAGTAGTGACATACATATCACAATAGCTGATAAAATGAGCATTATTATCCCATGCATGACTTAAAGCTTGCAGCAGTGATCTTTGCACTAAGGACATGGAGACATTATCTGTATGGAGTGCAGTTCGAGCTTTTCACGGATCATCAAAGTTTGAAGTATATTTTCTCTCAGAAAGAGCTAAATCAGAGACATCGACGATGGGTTGAGTTTATCAAAGACTACGAGTTTGTGATTCAGTATCATCTGAAGAAGGCTAATGTTGTAGCAGACGTATTGAGTAGGAAGCGTCAACATCAGACTGCAGCTTTGAGGTGCACGTTATATCGAGATTTTCACACCCTTAGCCAATTTTATTTTAGACCGGAGTTCGGCAGAGGCAACGCATTTTGGGAGCTTTGTCTGAGTAGCCATCTTGGAGTGATAAAGTGGTCAGAGCTTAGCTAGAGGACTCTTGGATTCAAACTCGAAAGGGGGAGATCTCCAAAGAGCCAAAGGCTGATTGGACCGTTGGAGTAGATGGAGAACTTCGAATGAAGGGCCGATTAGTGATGCCGAGTGATCCGCGATTAAAGAAAGACTTATTTGATGAGACGCATCATACCAGGTACACCGTGCATCCAGGCATAACTAAAATGTACAAGGATCTAAAGAGACACTTTTGGTGGAGCAGCATGCGTAGGGCGGTTGTAGAGTATGTGGCTAGATGTTTTACCTGCCAGTAAGTGAAGGCAGAATATCAGAGACCGGTAGAAAATCTACAACCTTTACCCATTTTGGAGTGGAAGTGGGAAGATATTTCTATGGATTTTATTATAGGATTTGCCAAGGTCGAAGAAGGGCAACAATTCAGTTTGAGTAATTGTTGATCGGTGGATAAAGTCAGCACATTTCATTCCGTTGAAGACGACGTACACGACAGAGTCGTAAGTGAGGATATTCATCTAGGAGATATTATGATTACATGGAGATCCAGAGATAATTATATCAGACCAATGCTCGGTTTTCACTTTGCACTTTTGGAGGAGCTTCCAAAACTCTTTCGGTAGCCAATTGTCATATTCTAGTGGTTTCCACCCGCAGACAGATGGAAAAACGGAGAGAGTCAACCAAGTATTAGAGGATATGTTGTGGGCTTGTGTTATACATTTTCAGGGCAGCTGGGAGGATCATATCCTATTGATTGAATTCACTTATAACAACAGTTACCTAGTAACAATTGGTATGGCACCGTATGAGGCGTTGTACGGGAGGCCTTGTAGATCGCCTATTTGATTGGCAGAACCAGAGGACAACCTATACTTAGACCGGAGTTAGTAAGACAGACTACAGAAAAAGTAGCAATAATTCGGGAACGCATTTTACAGCGCAGAGTTGTCAGAAAAGTTATGCAGATCAGAGACGACGACCATTAGGGTTCCAGCTTGGGGACTATGTATTATTAAAAATGTCACCAATAAAAGGAATTCGGTGTTTTGGAAGATGGGAAAAGCTTACCCCGAGGTATATCGGTCCATTCAGGATAGTGGAGTGCATTGGAGCCATTTCATATCGGCTAGATCTTCCAGCATCGATGTCGAGTATACACGATGTCTTCCATGTTTCGATGCTTAAGAAGCATCTACGTGCGAGGAGCAGCAGTGAGTGTTAGACATGCTAGAGGTTGAGATTCTTGATGATATGACTATTATTGAAATTCATGTGTATTATTGCTAAGGAGGACAAGATACTTAGAAACAAAGTGATTCCTTTAGTTAAAGTTCAATATAATCGGAAAGGAGCTGAGGAAGTTGCGCGATGAGGATATGCATCACCACGACTTGCACCTATTTGAGCAAATAAATTGTTTGGATATGATTCACCTATGTTTATGATTATCTACATGTTCATATCTATACTTAATGCTAGAATGGTGGTATTAGCACTTAGCTCCTAATTATTCGGAACATATGGTATATATATGAGGGGTTCCTTATTTGGATTTTTTGTCTGACGTACTAGTTTTATTTAGTTAGGGGGTTCAGTGGGAGTATTTACATTTTAGATTGTAAAGTATAGATATTGAGGAGGATTCTGGAGGGGCGCGAAGATGTTATGCGTCGTGACTACCCGCACCTGTTTGAGCAGATAAATTGATTAATTTTGATTGATGTTCATGGTTATCCATATTGTTATATTTATATTTAATGCTAGAACAAGAATATGAACACTTAGCTCCTAATTATATGGAATACATGGTATATATATGGGGGGTTCCTTGTTTGGATTTTTCTCCCAACGTACTTGTTCCGCTTAGTTAGGAGTTAAGTGGGAGTATTCACATTCTAGATGGGGGGGAGTATTCACATTCTATATGGTTAAGTGTAGATATTGTTATGTTTTATATCTGGTTATTAATGGTATGAGATGTGTACGTGAGGGTTTTCTTGTCTGGATAATCCTCTCTTAGTGCTTTTCTCATATTATTAATTCCTAAGATACGATTATGGAATTTCGGGGACGAAATTCTTTTAAGAGGGGAAGAATGTAAAACCTTATAAAATTTGAATATTATGTAAAAAATAATAATAAATATGTTATATAGTGATAAATAATATATTTTGATGTTTGAGTATGCTAGGGATTGATTTGAGATCAATCCAATGTATATATATATGAATATAAGAGTGAAATCATGTACGGTATGCACGAGCTTGAATCTGGAAAAACGATTTGTTAAGAGTATTTATATTTTATATATAGATACAGTTTGAATTTAGGAAACCTCAAAAGATAGAAGTTGTAGACCGCTTCAATAGCTTTCCAATGCATCTTAAATCACCTCATTCTGAGTTCAGATGTGAAAGTTACAGCCAAATCAACAAAGACATGCACACACAGATTTTTCCTGATAAGCCGACTTATAAGTCGACTTACACCAAGTCGACTTATAAGTCGACTTACACCAAGTCGACTTATAAGTTGACTTATGGACTGTTTCCAATTTTCTTTTAGGTTTTCGGGTTGTATCCGTGTTGTTTTGATCTAAGGCTTATATATACTCATTTAAACCCTATTTTGTTGTACTTTTTCATGAGAATACAGCAGCCACCCCTCCTTTAAAACCGTAGTTCAAGTTTTTAAGTATTTGAAAGAGTTTGGTGAAGAATTCACCGAGTGGAAGGTGAGATCGAAAATTGACTTGTATTCCTTTGTTTCTGATTACAATTTGATTACAAAAGAGAAGAGAACGAATTTGATTCTCTCCTTTGTTTAAAACTGGGTTCTTCACGGTAGCGATGGAGTGCCTCCCTCGAATGCTCGCGTCGAGTTTGCTCTCCGTTGACGATTCGATGTCTTGATTCACTGGAAAGATGTCTCCTCCTCACGATTTGACGTTATGGAGAACTTGCGTGGCAAGTTTTAGAAGTCCGGACGAGTTGATAACTCTGAACGAGTTTGAACTCTTGAAAAAGAGTTGATTTAAGACGAACTTTGAAGATGATCTTCCTTGAAGGATGATGCCGATCTCCTCCGAAGTTCCCCCAATGATCTCCCCTGTTGCTGCCAATTCTCAGCTCTAAAAAGCCAGCCTTCAATGGTCGATTCAAGCCAAGAAAAATCGAACCTTGCTGCCAATTGTTAGCTCCAAAAAAAAAACAGCCTTCAATGGTCGATTCCAGCCAAGAAAAATCGAACCTTGAACTCAGCTGAGTTTACTCGCTTTTATAGGGGATTAAGGGGGTGTAACTGCCCTCTAAATCCGCTCCTAAGTGGGCGTGATTTCCTCAGATCATGGGGAAAATGGTTCTGAAACCGTTCGACTCATATTTGAATGAGTCAAACGCCCAACCTGGCGTTCAGGACACTAACCTCGTGTCTTAGGATTGAGACGCGAGGTTGGGTGTTGACTGAACATCCAGAACGCGAGGGTCGCTCACATTTCGCTTGTTGTAACGCGAGTCCGACTCTAGCATTTTGATATTGTAACGCGGGTTCGACCCTCGCATTTTAATGTTATAACGCGGGTTCGACCACGGCGTTTTAATGTTGTAACGCGGGTTTGACCACGGCGTTTTGATGTTGTAACGCGGGTTCGACCCTCGCGTTTTGATATTGTAACGTGGGTTCGACCACGGCGTTTTAATGTTGTAACGCGGGTTCGACCATGAAGTTTTGATGTTGTAACGCGGGTTCGACCCTCGCGTTTTGATATTGTAACGCGGGTTCGACTCCAGCGTTTTGATGTTGACACACGGGGAGGACCTCCGCGTCTTGTCTTGAAGAGATTAACACAAAGTAATCTCTTTTGTCATAGTGTTGCAAAGATCATTGTCTTGTAATCTTCGTCTTGGCTCCTTGAGAATATGAGAGTCGTCAGATTGTAACTCCCGATGTTGATTGTGAATGCTGTTGAACTAGAGCTCTCATCGGTTATCGTGAAGGTCGTCAGATTGTAACCTTCAGCGATCTACGTGAAAGTCTTCAAATTGTAGCCTTCTGGAAGTCGTCAGATTGTAACTTCCATCATCGGTGTTTGATGGAGGATAAGCTATCTATTGTGATTTTTAGACAGCCTACAGAACCCCCTCCAAAGTTTTCGAAAGTTCGCGGTTGACTGGGACGAATTTTCAGAATACTTTGGATCTCACTCTGATCCTGGAGCTGTTGATTTTTTGTCGTAAATGAGTCGTTCTTTGCACTCGCTTCGAAGGCATCTTGGTTGAAGGGATTTACCACGTAGGAACTTTGTGAAGGTATGCGTCATAATCCTGCTTCTGGAATGCGGGGGTGGACCCCTGTGTTTTGAATTTGAGACGCGGGGCTGACTTCGGCGTTTTGAATTTGAAACCCGGGTGTGACCTCGGCGTCATGATTTTTGTAACGCGGGTCTGACCTTGGCGTTTTTAAAGTTGGAACCCGGGTGTGACCTCGGCGTCATGATTTTTGTAACGCGGGTCTGACCTCGGCGTTTTGACTTGAGACATGGAAGTGGCTTCCGTGCATTTTTGACTAAGTCTTTGAAACTTGTCTTTAGCTTATCTATTTCAAGTCTCGGCTCACATCCATCAAGATAATGGACCTACGAACATGCATAGGATTTTTGGCAAACCCTCAGCCATCAACGGATTTGATAAGCATTTACCGACTACCGTTTGAGTCGGGCTAGCATGTGAATTATTTGAATCCGTTCCACATGTAATGTTATGCTAAAAGAATGAACTCTCTTAGACTCGATGCTATGATTTTGAATACATAGACTTTGTCATTTTTTTACGGAAAAAGACTAACCGGCAACGCATGTTAGGCGTAGACTTATCTCTAATTAGGGATC